TGGTTCACGACCAATTCGGTTTGCGACCAGAGTCGCGGAACAAATTAAGTTCATGAACCAAGGTACCACTGTATATGTTTAGATATTAGTAAACCATAGGCTAAATCAAAACATCACCATTTTCCAAATGTATCAGAGCAGTCTTTCCTGATGTGGCTCATGTATGTTGGATTAGAACTCCCAGCCAAAACGGCTGTTGAGGAGAAAAGCAAACAAAAATAACGGAGATCCTTTACTATTCATAAAGGATCAGCAATATTTTCCTGTGGTATGGACCACAATGTGGAAAGCTAAAGTACCTTTTAATACCAATTTCTTACCACAAAATTGAAGACCTCATTGTAGCAATAGGAGTATCTTAAGTACCACCGTATAGTGTAACTTTGAGAAGGATCACATGCAGCTTCACTGCCATTAACTAAACAAATAAGAAAAATATGTAAGAAATGCAGGATATACTGTTACCAACTAACAGTAAGTTTTGCAGCACCTTAATGATTAAAGCATTTATTACAGCTAGAAGTATGCAATATTCAGAATGTGAAGCAGGAAAGGTGCTTTGTATCCAGTATGGGTAAAAGGCTGTACCACCAACAGATACAAGAAGCACGCTTAGCCGAATCTAAAGCACCTTTCCTGCTTCAGACCCAAATACTGCACACCTCTATTATGGGAGAAAATTTCATAGACTACTTCATGTTCCCAACTGCATTAATCTCATAGCAATCAATGAATAATAAAGTGCCTAATCAAATCCAAAAGATAATCATAAACACTGGGTTGTTATTATCATTATTATTATCATCATTATTATTAATATATTATTACATTTTAATAGGAAAGTACAGAATAGCCCTGTCAATTTTTTACAGAAAATTAGAGGAAAAAATGTACAAGACAACAGAGGCTTGCAAACAATTATAACTAACAGTATAGTTTAGATTTGGAAGTAACCTACTTTTTTATATTAGTTAAATTTTAAAAACTATCTTATAAAGCTAGTCAACAGTGTTGTGAGTCCAGAAATCCAAAAGTAATTTCCAATAAATTCTAGTGTTCAGGTACTATCTGAAAAGAAGTCATCACAATGTTCACAATGACATTGTTTAATTGTCTAGTCCCCTTCTTTTTAGTAAACCTCTGCATTCAAAATGACACACACATTATTTTATAAAGAACTCTTACATAGAATTTTATATAGTTCTACTAAGAACTAAGTCCCACTGAATAAATGGGACTTACTTCCATATAAGTATATACAGGACAGCAGCTTTAGATTTTTAAGGCAATCTAGAAATAGGCGTAAGTATGAGAATAATAGATACTGAGATACTGTACTTTGGAACTAGGGCTGCACAAATCTAGACAGCCTTTATATAGTAACAAGGATATATCTCTTTGTTACTATCCATCGACCATCTGGAATTTTGCTGCCAAATCTGGCAGAACTCTAGTATATGATCCAACATACATAGTATCTCTCCAAATGTATACATTCATTTGCATACATTCACTAAGTTACACATCATGCTAACTTGCCATTTTTAACCAAGCTCACAGGGAACAAGAAGCATGCTACAAAGCCGACCACTTGCATCTATGAAGATGCCAGCCACAGCTGCTAGCAAAATGTCAGGATACTGTAGCAAATCATTAGACCATGGCCTATTGGCATAGAAGTTCATCACCATTAGTATTATGATTCCTTTGTGAAACTATGTTGATATGACACTGTAGTCTCAACCACTGAGATAAAGCAGATTGGAGAGAGCAAAAGTTATAAAAAGATCATTGATGTGCTCTGCAGTTTTATAGGCCCAAGTCATTAAGTCATCCTAAATAAGGCCTGCTCTAACACAGTCATTATAAAAGAATGGGATATTACATTTCAAGGTACAGTATGAATGTACTTACACTTTAGGAAAATGGTAGTATTGCTAAAGAGAATCTTTCCAAAGTGAAAAAAATTCTTCTCCTATAAGAGAAAGGAAACAAAGAGAAATGGCATCTAGATATGGAAGTTCATCAATATTGGGAATAACCATATACTTAATACTACTAAATAAATATGTGTGTCCCCAAGAATTCAAGCAAGAATGCCAAAATCTTACAACATTTGGCAATCTTTTGAGATTTTGATTGTTGGGAAAAACATTATTAATCATGAGAAGAAAAGAATTTTGAATTAAAATTGCTGGGAGAAATATCAATAACCCAAAACCTACAGCACCCTGATGATTTCAAGCATAGAAAATTTAAGGAATCTCTTATTGAAGGTGAAAGACAAATATGCAAAAGCCAGTCTGATACTCAATATTTAAAAAACTAATACTTTTTAAAAAATAAGATTATGTCAACAGGCAACCCAATGCATATAGGCAGAGAAGTTGAAGTAGTAACAGACTTTAACTTCCTACACTCAAAGGAATAGCAACTGTAGCCATAAATAGATGTCTGCTTAAGAAAAGACTATGACACTCCCAGACAAAATGTTAAACTACAAAGGGATGACACTAACAGTAAACGCACATATTATCAAGGTCATGGTTTTTTTCAGTTGTAACATATGTGGCTGGGAAAGCTAGACCATCAGAAAGGCTGAATAAAGAAAAAGTGATGCCTTTGAATTGTTGTGGATTGCAAGTACAACACTAAATGAAATAAAGCCAGGCTGCTCACTGGAAGCACTAATAATGAAATTAAAGCTTAAATATTTCAGACACATAATCTGAAGGCAGCAGTCATTAGCAAAAAATCCAATGCCTGGAAAAATTGAAGGTAATTGAAAAAGAGGCTGACAGAAACATGATGGCTGGATACTATCACTGATGGCACAAACATGTACTACAAGAATCAGAAGTGACTGAATGGCTGTACAACAAACAAGGATCACTGGCAGTACCTCTGCAGACCATCAATTGTTCAACCACAAAAATTGGGAACCGCTGGCCTAAAATACACCTGTACAAATCATAGATATACTCTTCCATTAATGTTACCACATTGACATGAAAGGTAAACATGAATGTTGCTATCTTATCTGCAACTGCTGGGAATAAACCTGTCATTAGCTGGACTTACCTCTAAGTAAACAAAGAGAGGTAAGGCTACACAAATTCATTCACATGTTATCATTTGATTATTTAGTGCTTGATGAACCACATTTAAAACCTGCAGCAAATCACATTATGGTTGCTGCAGCCAAAAACTAAGAAACATGCCTGTATGAAATATCCTGAAATACTGAAGGTGATATATTCAGTGAAACGGGGGGGCAGAGTTCAATTAAACATATACAGGTAGTCCCCGGGTTAAGAACACCCGGTTTAAGGACAACCTATAGTTAAGAACGGAGCCTATTATAGCAAAATTCAAGTTAAATACACAACGATTCGAGTTACAGACACAATACTACTTATACAGTATTATACAATAATCCTGTTCTGGCTTACATACAAATTTGACTTAAGGACAGACCTTGGGAACAGAACTCCTTCTTAAACTGGGGACCAGTTTTTGTCTAGTCCCCCTAACAACATATTTGTTTTCAAATCTCCTCTTAACCAAGAATTTATGAGTAGCTTAGGCAAACCTATCACTCACTGACAGGATTTTTCATATGAAATCACATGGTAAATGCATTACTGAAACGAAGCACATGAAGTTCTCTTATAAGCACATGTTCTCACATTATTACACATACTGAGGCTATAATTCCATTCATACTTACTTAGAAGCAAGTCCCATTGAACACTGAATAGTTCAGTTGAACTCTGACATTGAATTAGGATTTGTTTGTATTAACATAACTTCGAGAAAAATACTATGTGTATCTGACCTTTTTGGGGAAGGGGGGAGGGATCTTTGTACATGCAACATATTAAAAATGGCACCTGATTAAAACAGAAAATTTGCTTTAGCTAAGCATATATATGTGCATGATGTGCTAAGTACTTTGAATAACAGGGTAATTACCTACAAGAATAACAAGGTAATTACTTTCAAGATCTACCTCTTACACAATTTCTTGTGCAAGAAATTAAGACTGGGAAAACTCCCAGATTATTTTAGCAGTCACTCTCATGAATAAAACAGAAGTAGGTGCTGAGATCTTTCTCACTGCTAGATGAATCTCTTCAGCAATAAAATACAAAACTGGCTCTTTATTAATAGATTTTCTGAACAATTTCATGACTGCCTCACTTCTGGCCTTCTAAAGGAATCAGACTACAGTAGTGATGGGCAACCTTTCAACCTCAGGATTGTTTTCCTCTTTAACCGAATCTCCCATCCCACATATGTATGTACCGGTGCTGAGATAAAAATAATGTATGGAGGTTCAGGGCCTGCTTTCCCGGTTATTATTAATACAATACAATAATACAAACTGTTACATATTATTATTATTATCGCATTGAAGAACCTTGAAAAATGGGTAGTCGCCGGTGAACCAGTTAATCTCAGTTATCAAAAACTGAGATATAGGCAAAACCTTGTCCGGATGGGTCAAACCGGACACCAAAACCAACGGCACGCTCCACAAACCGCCTCAGCCGGGAGGCAGCCTCCCTGGAGCAACGGGAGGCAGGGAAGATGGAAACGCTCCAGGCGGTGGAGCCTCCAACCGACCCCTTCCATGCCGGCAACCCTGCCCGGGCCCCGGCGCCCAGCCCCCTAAGATCCAGGCCACCCTCCTTCCTCTTCGCCCTGCCCACTCAACGGGACGGCGTGGCGGGGTAGGCTGCCCTGCGAGCTCACCAGGGGCACCGACAGTTCCCACTTGGAGAGCTGGCTGGCTCCAGCCGGGCTCGGCAGCCCCGCAAAGAGGAGCTGGAGGAGCAGCAGGGTCAGTCCCACAGAGAGGCGCCCCCGCGGCTGCAGCATCCTCCCCAACGCGCCCGGCACCGCCATCACTCCTCCGCGAAATCGACAAGGAAAGACGCGCTCCGGCGCGCTCGCCGCCTCTCCGCTCCACGGCCGAGCCTCCGGGCCGAGGGCGGGTGATGGGGCGCCGCCGGATTGGCTCCAGCGCCCAGGCGAAGCGGGCGGGGAGCAGAGCTCTTCCGCACAGCCGCCTCTTCCGCGTCGCCCGCGAGAGAGGAGGGGGCGGGCGAGCGAGCTTGTTCTTCTTTCCGTGCAGTTTCTGCGGCAGGCGGGTGAGCGCGGGTGTACCGTATTCTGGTCCCGTGTTAAACTTACTCGCAGCAGGGTACTGGGAAATGCTGGCTTTGCATCCTTGCTACTATTTGTTCGATAAAAAAGCAGATTCTTTGGATGTACGTCATTTAAGAGTAGATTCAATTCTTATAAATACGTTGTTTTCAGGAGGACCGTTTGGCGTGTTAGCTTCATCTGTACCGTATTAGAGGCAAACTGAATAAAACCCATGCTTATGTAGCTACTCCGAGGTCCCTCCCAACCAACTTTAGTTCTCCAAAAGCTAAACAGAGTTGCACCTGGTAGCATTTGGATGAGAGAACACTACAAAATATTAGGGCTACGGGCTAGAGTAGAAAATGAAAAGTACCTCAGAAGAAGGGAATGTCTACCACTGAAGTATTGTTGTTAGGAAAACTACTTGGATGTACCCATGAAGTCACAAGGAATCAGGCTGGACCCAAAGGAGATTTATTTACAGTAGGCTGTTCTAGAGCATAGCTTTGGTCTGGAGCCAGAATTAAGTTTAATAGAGTGCAAAATAGCAGCTGGTCTATCTGTTCTTATAAAATACTCTCTGCTAATTCTAAAGAGAGGAATTTTGAACACACCATTTCCAACTCGAGGCATTCAGCTGACCACTCAAACCTTGCAATGAAGCTTTAAATGGCTGACTTAGTGCAGTGCCTAATCCATAATCAGGTTTGGTGGTCATATGGGCCTATCCTGGGGTAATGGAGCAACTGTATATGCAATGGGCATACAAGTTTAATAATGAATAAATAAATAAATAAATAAGTAATTGCTTGTTTGTGACTTGAGGATCCAATTTGGGACTGCTGCTGCTGAGACAACTGTACAAAACAGCCTGGGTTTTTTGGGTTTTTTTGCAGGGACAATGATGTTATTCAAGGCCAGGAAAAGGGGTAATTGAGTCAAACCGTTTAAGAACCACTGGCTTAGTGCACTTCATTTCAGTCAGGTTTCAGACTGGGATTCTGTATGGAGACAGCCTTGATTGCGCTTGTTGATGACTGGTGGAGCTGGGATCAAAGTGGTACATCCATCCTTGTGCTGCTTGTCCTCTCAGTGGCTTTTGATACTGTTGACCATGGTATCCCTCTGGACTGGCTCTGGGGGTTGGGAATTGTGGCCATATTTTATAGTGATTCTCTTCCTTCCTTTGGGGCCAGTTCCAGTTGATGATGGCAAAGGGAGAGCTCACTCCCTAGACCCCTCCTTTGGGAGCGCCACAGGGCTTAGCCCTCTCTCCCCTCCTGCTTAATATCTACATGAAACCACTGGGTGAGGTCATCTACTAGTCCAATTATATCTTTGAACCCCAGGCTAGAAAGTGAGGTTGTCAAGGTCCTCTCCCAGCACATGGAAGGTGTGCAGGCCTGGATAGGGAGAAACTCTTGATTCAATCCTACCAAATCTGAAAACACAACATGACCCTCTGCACGTTTATTTGGTGAATAAGCAAGTTATACTCACTCAGTCTAAAAGTATTTAAGAATTGTAGTCAAATTTTAACAAAGCCAAGTATTGTCTCTACAACAAACTGTATTTTACTGACTTATTGTATAAATGCTGACACAGCTGGGTATTTAATCCCATTCAGTATTTTTATGGTAGGTTTAAAGAGAATACTAGCCCTCAGTTTCAAACCATCATACCTTACTTAGAATATAATGGATACCTTTGCATTTAGGTAGTACAGTGAAAATTGTCTTTCTAAAATGTTGATAGCAGTTGGTCTCTTTAAAAGTGCCAAAAGTGACAAAGAGAAATTACTTGAAAATTTGTCAGAAGGGGGAGGGGGAGCCACAATAGAATTAGACAAGGAGATAAAAAAGATGAATAAAAACTAAGAGATCTCCTTAATATTAATTTATTCAAAGATTAATATTAAGCAGATCTTAGTTTTAATTCATCTTTTTTATCTCCTTGTCTTTTCTGAACTAGGAATTGGCCTAACTCCACCGGTAAAACTTACTTTACCCCTGTACAATTTTATTAAACCGATTTAAGAACAAAACAGTAATAGGAAGTAATACTTCTTCAGTTCTATCCTGAATGCTGCTCTCTGAGCAGTACCGAAATACTAACATCAAAGCATATGTATACTGTAGTCCCGGCCACACTATTGGTCAGGTGGGCTGGGCTATCAGAAATAAAACTCCATTTCCCAGCATGCAACAAGAGAATGTGAACTCGAAACTTACTGGCTAGGGAATTTCCTCTTCATTTCCTAACCAATGGTTCAAAAATAGCTCGCTCGGGATCATGGAATCGAGCAGTCAAGAAATCAGGTAAATATGTATCATTTTGCAGTAACTGGTTTGCAAATCTTACTTAAGCACAATGCATGATTCTAAAAGAACCCAAATAATTTTTTGGTTCTAAAATGTTACGCTTGAATTCATGCAGAAATTAACACTACACACCTACAGAGCAGGGAATCAAAATATAGAAGAACACAAATCATAAATTTACAGCATTTACAGTAATGTATGTAATAGTGTAATTATACTGGCAAGTATAAAGTGAAGGAGTTCCGGAAATACAAAGTCAGTCATAGGACACATGGAAAGGCAGCTTAATCAAGAAAGTGAATGTAAACCTAATTATTGTTTTACCTGTTTTCAATCAGATAGCCTTGTTGCACCTTGATTAATGTTGTCATATGAATACAAACATTTTTGGGAGGGGCTGTATGCAGTCATTTGATATCAAGAGCTTTCTCCTGAATGGACAGATGTATGATTTGAAGTTATCTAAAGCTGTTTTGGGGTGCAGAAGTTCAGTTATTTATTCATATTTACCTATTTTAAGCAAGCGTGGCTTGTTGAACTGTAGGTAGCAGTGTTAGAATGTTTTCTATATGTGCATAATGAATTCCGGAGGCAGCACCTTAGATTTAATTGTAGTAGAATTAGTGCTTCTTGCACTAAGAAAACATACATTTTACTGTCCTGCAACAGTTAGTTTTATTATATTGAACTACTGTTTATTTTGTGTGACTGTTTATACTATTTGACCTGATTGTGAAGATACATGATATTTATTTATTTATCATATTTATATGGTTGTCATCTTGCAGAACGTGACTCTGGGCAGCATACAATACAACACCAAAAAATAACAATATTAAAAACATGTTACCATTAAAAAAACCATTATGAAATGGATTAGTTCATTGCTTAATTTTAGAAAGAGCATTATACCAACCTTAGAAGTTCCCTTTATCAGTTGAGCTGTCTTTTGAAGTTTTGCATACCTGGGAATTGGAATAAGTAACCAATATCTACTTAAGGAAGACAGTCTTTTTGAAAATTTAAAAAGGAAATCATAAGGATATCGTCAATTAACTTGGGTTTTCCTCAGTCAACTGGCAATAAAGATGGTCACTTATTCTGGAATAATATTGATAAAAGTAATTCTTTTAAATATTATATGTATTGTGGAATCCATTTCTAGTGTACCTGCTTAGTATGACCAGGAGGATGCAATTAAAATACACTACTGTACTCTTTCAGAACCTTTCCATTATATGCATCGGAATAAGCTTGTTCCAGTGTCTATAGTTCAGGAGGAAATCATCTTTGTTTCTTCACTATACATTTTAGAAATGTTATATTTTCTTGTATTTAGTGTCCAAGATGAGGCTGTGGACAAAAGCCAATTTAAGACATGCAAGCAAATTGCCTTTTACAGGTAAAGATTATGAGTATTTTGTTATTTGCAATATGATGTATATAACATCACAACATACAGCACAACTTACGTTGAAGAGATATTGCAACAATACATCTTACAGGGCTAAGTTTGCATTAAGAGGAATTTTATAAGGGCACCTAGATCTGTGCTGCAAAAAATCCATGAGACTGCTAGATGGCAGCAAGGAGAAAATACAAAACTCTTGCTGCCATTTAGTGTTGGTCCAGTTTTTTTTCAGCCAGGATCTGCTAGCTCTAATTTTAAATTTGTTTCATTAATGTGTTTAATCCCTTTATGTGTTTCTTCAAGTACCAAAGCATCTCAAGATGGTTTACAATAAAAATAACTGTGAAACACACAATAAAGCAATTCTGAAAACAATATAAAATAACAATATAAAAGCATTTTTAATCAAACATTAATTAAAAATGGCAGGGGGAGAAAAGAGGAAAAAAAGTCTTCCAACATTCACCCTGGGAAAGCTTTGGTAAACAGATAAGTCTTCAAGAAGCCTCAGAGAAATATTATGGTAGGTGTCTTCTGAATTTCATGGGGAAGAGCACCCCCAGGAAGAGCATGTGCTTCACCTTAGAGAAGGCCTGCCCACAAGGAGCCACCAAGTGGGATTCAGCAGCTCTTGGTACAAATAGCATATTTTCACCATTTTCTCCCACCCATCCATTTAATTGTAAGAATAGCCTTGCTGGATCAGGTCAGGGCCCACCTTAATTGTAAAGAGTCATGGAAATGGCCTCCAGGAAAATATTCAGAAAATTAAAAGGGCAGAAGCATTCCTTGTTTGATGCATGACCTTTGAATGTTCCTAAGTAGTAGAGTAACATTTTTCTGGAAAAAAAAATAAAACATATAAATAAACATATTGTAATGGGTCTATGGGGCCTGACCTTTGGTACACTCTGTATATATAAAAATGGAAAGCAGGTAATTTATTCCATAAGTCTCTAGTTAATATCAATTTGAAATTATGTCATTTAAACCCATTGGTCAATGGGATTTAGTCAAAAGTTTTGAATATGATTACATCCTCATCTACTACACAGATAAATGTAAAT